GGAACAGTGATGGTTGCAGGGGCCCTTACATAGTCCACGTGGATGGGACCGGCTCCCAGTCCGCTCAGCTGTAAAGTGGCTCCCAAACTGGGTTGTGGAAGGCCTGCCATCAGCTCTGTTACCAGGAGTTGATTTAATTACCCTCTTTTTAAAATATAATTTTTTATTTTTTATTAACATGTAATGTATTATTAGCCCCAGGAGTACAGGTCTGTGAATCACCAGGTTTACACACTTGACAGCACTCACCATAGCACATCCCCTCCCCAATGTCCGTAACCCAATCACCCTCTCCCTACCACCCCGCCCCCGGCAACCCTCAGTTTGTTTTGTGAGATTAAGAGTCTCTTATGGTTTGTCTCCCTCCCGATCCCATCTTATTTCATTTTTTCCTTCCCTAACCCCCAGAGGGTAAGTTGCCTTATTTTACCCATCACTTATGGGACAGGAAAATAGTATGGCCTCTGCCTTCTTGAAGAGAACAGGAAGAGAGAAAATCAACACAGGTCAGATTTCAAAGTCCTCAGGGGTAAGAATTTGGAGAAAAAAGTCTGCAGAACTCCCTGTGCTTCTTAGGTTTTTCTAAAGAGACCTGCGTTTTATCACCAAGGCCTTGTCTTACAGGGACTTAGGGTGCGCCCTCAAAGTAGATGGGGTGAGTTCCTCATCTTAGCTGGATCCATATTTTAATTAGCTATGGTAATGAAACAAAGGGATAACGGTAAGGCCTAGATAATTTAACAACCAGAAACGTACCTTTAACCACAGCCTTCCACTCTCCAACTGTGATCCACATTTCAGTCAGGACTTAAATATGGAGAACTCATGAGCATGGTAAGAACTCAAGATTGGACAGCAAGAAAAGCAAGGTCCTAGCTAACTGACCATTAGAAATTCTCTTGTTCCTCATCAGATGAACCCCTGTTCTGTAGCATTACTTTGCACCCCACCTTTCTGCGATAGTTTAATTGGTTTCTCGAGGTGCAGCAGTCAGCCTCTCACAACCTACAAGTAAAATGGCAGCAGCGGTGGGGGTGGGATGGGGGGATGGTAGAGGCGGGGAAGATGAGGAGCAAGAGAGTTTTTGGACCAACTGCTTTTATTGCTTCCAGAAGGTAGGACTGAAAACATCTGACTCATCAGGCTGGGTCTATGAGTCAAAGGGTCAAGTTAAAATATTTGGCTCAAATAATGTATAGTGAGTTCATTTTTCCTGTGGGCTATGGGTCTTCAAGATGATGATGCAGATGGACGCAGGTCCCAGAGGCACAGAGTGAAGGGTGCTGGGGACTGGCTGACACCCCATTTCCTTAGGGGGAAGGTTGCGGGGACTGACCCCTCCAGGCCTTGTACTAAATGATAGTCCCCCGTCACACCAACCCTTAATAGGAAGATCTAGAGAGGGGACACCATCTACTGGAAATGGTCTCTAAAGCATGTAAGAACAGGAGAGTCTTACCCAAACTCTTTTAACTGAAAACAACACTTGGTATTTGGAAGGAACAGTATTTTGAAAAACACAAAATTCCATAAGCAAAGGCCAGGCAGCTAGTTAGAAAGACGTGGTTAGTTAAGTAGCAGGAACAGATTTTGCTTTTGTTACGGTTCTTAAGTCCCTACCTATTTAAGAGCTGATATTTTAGAACAATTGGCCATCATCACCCTAACTTCATAACGCTGCTAGAGAGAGAAAAGCTAGTTTTTAGCTGATCTCAAAAGCTTTGGTGTTGGTTTCTAAAAGTCACAGCCCCAAAGGACATCTACAGCTCCTTTTCCCTGTGCAGAGATGACGGCTCACGATGGCTGCTGAAGCAGGAAAAGTTCTGAGCCAAGCCCTTGTCTCTTACAGCCCGTTAATCATTCCTTCTTAGAAGATCGTCACAGGTTGAAGGCAGGCAGCTCTCATTCTTTAGTGAGCAGCTACTAAAATTTGTATTTACACAGTTGGTTAGGTCACATTTTAAAAAATTGGGGAAAAAATGCCACCAGTACAAATACCTCCACTGAAGACTAAAATCTGGTTATATACAGAAGGGAAAAATTTTTTTTCTCATGTTTGCTTAGAGACTCCTAAACCTATCTACTTGGGCAATGCATGTGCAGTATAAAGTATTTTAGGAAAGGAAAAAATTTATTCGGATAGTCCCTAGAATTAAAAAAAATTCTAGAAGAGGCTGAGGCAACTTCGAGAAGCAAAACTCAAGAATGAAGAATACTGTAGTACAAAATTATGGCCAAAAATACTGTATTTTTAACCAGCAAGATCATTGGGGCATTATTATACAACATTAGGTGTTTTTTGCAAAACTAGTTCCCATCCCCAAACAATAGACAATACATGCATTTGAATGACATTTTAAGAACAGTAAATATGATTCTTTTAAATACTGCAAGTTAAAAATGTTTTCTGACAAAACTCCCTAAATACATAGGTCTAGTAAGGGTTTCCAACATGATGACACGTGAGGAATCCAGCAAGAAGTTGTATTTAGAGTTCTTTGAGGAAAAGAAATCTACCAAAAACACGTGTTTCAGTCCAAGTAACCTGAACGTTACACGGCAATTTGCCATCTTCCTTCCTAAGCTTGAAAATATTCTAGAAAGAATATTTTCCTCCCTGTTTTTGTGTTTGTTTGTTTTTCCTATCTACCAAAGCGTATATGAAAGTCAGAACTGCTTTGTCCAAGTAAGGTCCAATTTAGCCCAATAGATGTTTTCATAACATGGAAAGGTCCTTTACTATTGGGTTGGAATCATATGGGGAAATGGAAGATACATGATCGATAGGGAGGTAAGAAGGAAATTAATATTTGAGCACCTACTATGTGCTAGGTATATATGCATACTTTGAACAGATGATTCTAGAGGCAAGAGTATTACCGATGTGATGAGCACTGGGTGTTATACGCAACTGATGAATTACTGAACACTACATCTGAAACTAACGATGTACTATATGTTGGCTAATTGAATTTAAATAATAAAAAGAAGAGTATCCCATGAAATATTTGGGATGTATTTATATATTTTTAAAAAAAGGTCACTGCAAGTTGGGAAGACAGCAATGAATGGGTGGTTACTCTTGCTAGGTGTCTACTAAACAGCAGGTGTCTGGCTCCAAAAATCTCTTAACTAATCATACACAACGAAGTCATTTCTTTTCCTAATTCGGTGGAACCAAAATGAAATGCCAAACACATCATTACCAGGACAGACCTATTAACGCTACATATGCTGGAAATATGTGGAGATAGATAAACATACAATACTACAAGTCTTAATTTTTGTGTGTTTCTAACCAAAGAGAGATCTTTGGAAGAAAATAGTAATGTATACCAAGCACACCTTGTTTATATCAACTGAGATGTTGTCAATTACCAATTAAGTGGTTTTACACCCTTATTTAATTTTAAGAAGAGCAGCAATATACATAACAATACTTGGGTACACTTTATTTTGATACGGGTTAACATTCTTCTATATTTCATTTCATTCTTTTTTTTTTTTTTTGAGAAACTGAAAACAAAGGGAAATTGAGGGTAATTTTGAAGGTTATTTCCAACCACTATCTGAGTCTTGCAGTATCTCATTATACAGCCCTTTCTTCCCATTATTATTATTTTTTGCAAATAAGTCATTTGACCCAAATCCAGCATAAATAGCTTTTTACCAATGCCTAACTTAAGACAACTAAAATTTACAATCATGTGGCAGTATAAATTTTAAAATTACAGTTCATACACCTTGACAGTCAAGATAGTCTAAAGTACAAAAAGTAAATTGTCCTTTAGCTGAATTACCTTTTTTTTTTTTAATAGTAGGCTTGCTAGTTAATCCACACACACACACACAAAATACAAGTTTCAGGTGTTCTTCGAATACCTTTTGTAGGTGTCATACGCTAGTAAACAACATATGCAGGTTCCTAAGATTTTTTTTCCCAGTCTATTCATGACATTCAACAGAGCTCTTCATATGAAAATGTCTTTAAAAACAAAACAAAACAAAAAAACTTCGAGGGGATTTATTGACTTTTGAATAGGCGTGTTATTTCCCTTTGTTTCAGATATGAGGCACAAACTTCTGAATTTAAGCTCTGTAAGGCATAGTACAAACCTCCAATTTACAAGTAAGGAATTCTCTGTGGGTTTGGAACTGCCATGTCACGCGGAAGAGGGAAAATTATCTGTAAACTGGTACACTGCAATGTGTTGAGTGAGTCATGAAATGGCTGCTTGCCTTGGTATGCTGAAGAAAGGTTTTTGTGTTTGTGTTTTTCTTTTTGAATAAGACATGCCCAAGTCACCAAAAACTCGCCACGGGCCTCCATGACCTGGAGCATCAATGCGAGGAGTCCAGTGGCACACGCTTCTAACGCTTGCAATCACAATATAATAGAAAGCATGAGTAAACTTTTGTTTTTATACAAAACTGAGAAGAATCCCTTCCCGCCCCTAGCCCCTTCAATAAAACCCCAAAGAAACAGAAAAGAAAATCCTTTAGCTTCGATTGACTAGTGTGGATACAATTAGGTTTCCATGCGTCACTGCAGCTAGGGTGATCAATTTCTTCCTTTCCCAACAGAAAGGGATCTTGTCATGCACCCTACAGCAAACAGTGAAGCCACAAACCTCAGTTCTACATAGCAATTCCATCCCAATTTCATAAAGACAAATAGAACAATCTTTCCCTGTTTGCTCATCTTCTTCGAGCTTTGAGATCATGTATAATCGACTACATCTACTATAGCTCTAGTAAATAGAATATCTTGATTCCCTAAAACTGTAACACTTAGGATCTTGTGATGAGGTTTTCTCTATACACACTGTAGGCCTTCAAATGTTATTGTTGACTGTTTTTTCTTTTCTTTTTTTTGTTTTTTTTTCTTTTTTCATTTTTTTCCCTTTTTTTCTTTTTCTTTTTTTTTTTTTTTTTTTTTTTTTTTTTTTTTTTTTTTTTTTTTTTTTTTTTTTTTTTTTTTTTTTTTTTTTTTTTTTTTTTTTTTTTTTTTTTTTTGCTGCACCAAATTTAAGATTGCCCTTTTGGGCAAGCAGTGGTCTCTAGCTGTTAAAACATTTCCTTAGTGGATCACAATAGCTTCTAAAACTGCCTTTCTAATAAAGGCCATCAGAGAGGTAATACTAAACTGTGCATTTGCCAAATAAGAATATGAATTGTATAAAAGCTCATATTCCAATCCTAGGTCAAATGGCAAAAGTTCTACAAAGTTGGTTTCCATGTTTGTATAAAAGCTCCGACTGATTTTATGTATTTTGCTATGAAATTACCTTTGGGTCTTACCAGTATACCTCTACTCAGGAATGTGCAAATGATTTTATACAGCACGATGCTAGTACCGCTCTGTACGATAGTAAGATTTTTTTTTTTTCTTTTCTAAATGGAAAAAAAAATATCCCTAGTCAGAAATAAACTGACAAATTTACATTCTCCTCTCTTAAAAAAGTAAATAAAATAACATTATTCAAAATGTGAATTAGCTATAAGACATACAATTACATAGATACATATCAATACAGCACATTCAATCTGCCAAAAAATTAATGATTACAAAGCCAGTAAGGATGCTGCAATATCAAGAGATGTATGTACAATGATTAGAGCATTCAGAATTGCACTATACCTACAGGCAGTCTGGTTCTTAATTAAATTACAGGTGCTTTCTGAGCAAAGTGAAAAGGTAACCTGTGTTGTTTGTGGCTGGGAAAGTAAAGAAGGAGAACGTTCTACCACGACTTAGGAACTCCTTGGACTCCTCTAATAAGCCATGTGTTTTCTCTCTTCCCTTTCTTCTCTCCCAAAGAGTGATTGATAGGGAAGTTTAGACTTGGGCCAAATAGTATGATACTTAAAGTAAGACCAGTGTCGTGGCCTAATTCCTACTCTCCAGCAGGTTTAAAACAATCTTGATTTATTTCCTTAAATCCTATTTCAACTCAAGCTCACCAATACATGTGCTGTGTTTCTTTTTTTTCTTTGCATTTGTTGATAAATTGCACATAGAGAACTCCCAATATCTCTCCTAGTAGGTTCAGTTACAAAATTCATGTTCTATAGAACGCTGACAAGCTACTCTTGAGTCCACAAGTCTTCCTTAGGTTCAACTTAACCAGTGACCAGTTTAGAAAGATCCCAAAGGTGGTAAACCAGCAGGAAGTAAAGGTTTTGCAAATTAGAGGCATCAGAATACTCAACCAATGTTCTTGGCTGACCTTCTTGACCTTAAAGAACACAAAGAGTAACACTGGCTTTAAGTGACGAGATAGCAGATTTCGTTTTCTATCACAAAGACACTGTGTTACATTGCCGATCTAGACACGCAACATGGAATGGACACTGAACAATGTGATCTCACGGCAAAGAAAAGAATGGACCATGCCAATCAAATTTACAGTTACTGATTGTTTGGTGTTTCGGGGTTGCTCTCAGCCAATTACTTTAGGACTCAGTCTTACTCTCTTCCATTTTAAGATACTGGCTTTTATCTTTTACATTTTCACCATCTTCCTTTTATAAAAAGCCAGCTTTGGCAACACACACCCATAATAAATTCTGGCCCAAACACTAAATGGGAAAAAAGGGAGGAAAAACCTGAACCAAGAGGGGGAGAAACCAAGAACAACCTAAGAAAAAGGTTCTGGGTAGCAGCCTTTGGGGTTATGTAGTGTCTGTTGGCATATACATACATATATTTTTTGGCATCTGCAATTTAAAGAGAGGGTTAAAAAAAAAAAGGGTGGGTGGAAGGACCATGGCACATGGCATTTAAAAAAACAAAAACTTTGTGTCTCTGTTCTTGCCTTACCGACTTGTGCATCTCTCTCTCTCTGAGCAACCAAGCTATGGCTGAAGGTAGAAATCCAAAAGAAATGACACTTAACCGTAAGATGGGCATCCGTCATCCTAGCCCAACGTGAGGCAAGACAATATATTTATATAAAACAACTCTGTATGTATATCCAGGGCCATACAGTGAAACCACAGTATTAATATTGAGAATCCTTCAGCGAAACTACAAACATTGAAATTAAGCTGATGTCAATGGCTTAAATCAAATGATGCTGTCCTGACTGTATCATTTGGGAGAAAAACTTGACCAAGAACGGAACTAAGGTAAAGGCCATTGTAACCGGGGGAAAAAGCGGGGGGGGGGGGGGGGGGGCGGGTATGGGTTAGCAGAAGGGCAATCAGCTTTGTTTTGCTCAATAGAAAAGAAAAAAAAAAGAGAAACAACCCTTATCTGGGCGAGTGCATGACGAGGATTTAAAATACATTGAGTCACAAGGTTTTGCCTAAAAAAAAGAGAGAGAGGAAATGTGCTGGGACTGTACTTCAGCATCCTGTGTTTCCTCTGAATAGTTTAAATAAAATCATAATATTTACTACAAACTCTGTGGACACGTTCACACAGAGTCCGGGACGGCAATAAATTAGTATTATGCAAATTGTTTTCCACAGAAATACAGTCCCTCTTGTACAGCTTCAATAGCCCACCAGGGAAGGGAAGGGCGGTGTCGAGGAGGCACAATTAGACCAGGTTGTACTCCTTCAGGTTCAACTGGAGGATGGTGTCCTTGACGGCAGCAAAGACAAAGCGGATGTTCTCGGTGTCTGTGGCGCACGTGAAGTGGGAGTAGATAATTTTATCACTGTCTGGGTTCAGGTCCACGAACATCTTCAGGATGAATTCTCGAGCTGCCTGGGCATCTCTCTGCGGTCCTGTTGGCCAAGGGAGGAGAGGAAAGGTTCGTCAGCTGATGTGTTAATGCCTTCGCTCAATAAGGGTTTACAGGGTCACTAAAGATGGAGTGGAGAGGACAGCCGCACGACACTGTGTCATACGGTTCCTCTCTGGCCTGTTCTCTGCCAGTCCCTCCGTCTAGCTTCTAGACGCCAGTGTTGCTGAGCACACCACATTGACGCAGCCTTCAATGTACTATGTGTGGTGATGAGAAAGACTGGTTTTAGGTTTTCTTAGCTTTATTCAGGCTCTCTTCCAGGCCAAACACTGTCCTAGATGCCTTGAAATAGGACTGTGATCTACTGACCTACTGACTGTGATCTATTGAGGATACGTTAAAAACTTAGTTAATAATTTTGCAATTAAGTCTTACACCAAAATCATAGGCACATAAACTGGACCTCATCAAAACAAGAAAACTTTTGTGCGTCAAAGTTGTGCATCACTATCGACAGTGAAGAGACAACTTACAGAATGTGTAGAATGCTGGCTAATCCCATACCTCCTACGAGGTTAGTATTCAGAAACTAGAACTCCTCCAACTCAGCAACAGCAAGGGGATCTGATTAAAAAATAGGCAAAGGGCTTGAAGACACATGTCTCCAAAGGTCTACAATTGGCCCATAAGCACATCCAGAGAGGCTCAGCATCCCGTGTCACTGGGAAATGCAAATCCAAACCACCATGAGATACCACTGTCTGTCTACCAGAGGGGCTAGCTCAGAAAAAGGTAGAAAATTAGTGTGGGCAAGGATGCAGAAAAATTGAAACCCTCACGCATTGGTGGAGCCGCTGCGGAAAACAGGTGGATAGTTCCCCCTAAAATCTCAACACGGTATTACCGTATGACCTAGCCACTGTATTCCTAGGTATATATCCAAAGGAAGTGAAAGCAGGGACTCCAAAAGTTACCTGGACAATGAGTTTCACTGCTGTAGTATTCGCAACAGCTAATAGGTGGAAACAACCCAAGCGGTCATCAACAAAGAACAGAGGAACGGATAAACAAGAGGTTGGAGACACACAACAGAATACTAGTGAGCCACAGAAGAGTTGGCACAACATGCATGAACCTTGAAAACGTGATGCTAAGTAAAAGGGGCCAGACAAAAGAACAAATGTAGGACTGCACTGAGACGAGGCACCTAGGATAGGCCAATCAAAAGAGACAAACCACAATTGAGGTTACTGAGAGGTGGGGGCAGGGGAAATGAGGAGCTACTGCTTAATGGTTAGAGAATTTCTGTTTGGGGTGATCAAAGTCTCGGGAAGAGGGATGGTTGCATTAATGTCACTGAACTGCATTGTTTTAAAACAGTTACAATCACAAACTTTGTTATGTATTTTACCATAATTTAAAAAATTTACCAAAAGGCACTGAACTGTGTGCTTTAAATGGGTGAATTAATGGTTATGTGAGTTATAGGTCAATAGAGTTGTTTTAAAAACCTATTTAACAGGTTCTGATGAATGTACTGATGTCATCCTGAAATTAATGTTAATTAGTGACATCAAAACAAACACTGCTTCTATTAAGTACTGAGCATCTATGTTTTAGTCTTTGAGGCTCTATAGATGTACACTGGCATTTTTTTCCGGTGAGTTCCGTCCAAAGAAAGATGGCGGTCATGTTATATATAACCTTCTCCTCCTCTACTTCCTTCTGTCTGACAAGACACTCTCAGGATTCACGGCTTCCATTTTTTTTCTATCAATATTCTTGTTATCTATTGTTTAGGATAAAGAAATATTTGAAAACTCAACTGAGGGCTTGACTATCACTTCTAACAAAAGGAATCATGATTTTTTGACAGCCAACTTGAAGATATCAAGCCGTCCTTACTGTAAGTTGGGGATTACCCCCATAAGCTTCTATCTAACTCTGCCAATAGGAAGGAGGAAAGAGCCATAAAGACACAGTTAACAAAGGTAATGTTTCAATTTTCGACTTCAGTGACCAGAATTGAAATCCTTGTTGGCAATTAAGAAGGCAGTGTCATAATGAAAATACCATACAAATACCATGATAGTGTCTCATCTTTCTCGATGTGCTATTAACTCACTAATTTCACAGCAGTAATAATATTTAAAACCAGGACTAATAGGTTGTTGGGGTTGGAGCAGCTTCTTATTTTCATAAAGGAACCCCATCTTCCTGGTTTGTGAAGGAAGTTCCCTTTGATTTTAGTATTTACTCAATTTGAGGGAAAAAGGGCTCTTTTTACTTAAACCCTAAAGAACATCAGAGTTAGACCCAACCAAGTTCAGCGAAGAGCACTTGCAGTGTGTTCAGTTTTTAAGCATAAATTACATGATTTGAATAAACAAACTACAAAGAAATCATTCTAGCCATCCTAGCAGGCACAGAATTCCACAGCCTCTAGGAACAATTCTGCAATTCACGTCCATGTGGAAACAGTAATTTCTCTTCCGGAAGAGAAATACAGAAATGGCATTCATTATGATTAAGACCTTCTAAGTGCAGAAATGTGGAAGTGTGAAATTCATAATACTATAAACATGTTTGTTATAAAAACATTGCTGCAGAGTCGGCCTAGAATTTTTTTAGTTGTAGCTCATCTTACAAGGGCTTTGTATGAAATGACAGCTGTGTTTGCTTAGTGAATAAGTGTCTTTTTTTTCTTTCTCCATGGCTAAGTTGCCTCTGTGTGTTATGTGCATGTTGGGGGAGATTAACAGTAAAAAAAAAAAAGAAAAACCAAGAACCCCCCCACATATGTTCACACTTTCAGACCTTTGCCGTGTGTGCACATCTGGTGAAAGGAAAATGCTCATGGTGATGGGGAATCTGGGAAATTTACTAGATGAAGGAGAGAGGGAAAGAGATTAGAAGGATGTGGCAAAAAGGAAAAAACAAAAAACAAAAAACAAAAAACCCTAAACATCTATCACAGAGAGTAAGTCTTGTGCTATAGAGAAGTCAAGCCCAGAGGTGGTGTGCTGTGGGTGCTGTACTGAGTAGCCTGAGTCTCCGTGGCTTTGCTCTGTGGGGCAGGCGGTGCTGTATTTAGCCCCTGTTGTCTTATATGCAAGCCCATCATGAAAACCTGCTGCCCTAGAGCGGGGGCCACGTACGGTGTGGGGCGTCATTTCCTATTTGTTGGTTCTCACGGGACTCTGAGATAAATGAACAGTCTAGATGCATACGGCAAACATGTGGTTATAGGTAAGCCAGATGTTTTGTGCCCATCTTCTACAGGTTGAGCTTGTGTTTAAAGACTGGCGTGTTGCTGTTGGAAACCAAGTTGGCCACCCGCAAAGTTCCTTCTATAGTTTCCTCAGGAACAGTGAGAGACACAGTCTCTGGCATTGATAACTTAGCGGTGGGCCAGTGGTCGATAAAAAAGCATAAAAATGAAAAGACTGTTTAGGCTAGGGAAGTAGTTGTTTTTGAAGGAAGAGCAAAGCACAAAGGAAAATGTCCTTGGATAGGGGACGGGAGCACATTGCTAACAAACGATGGAGAGTACTGTTTCTAATACCCTATAGCACCCCCAAACGTTTCTATTTCCATCCAGCAACCTTTAGAATCCTAGACATGTTTGAGAAGGGAAACTGAGTTCACGAAAGATGCAACCCTTTCCGTTCTGGGAGCCAGCATTGTACCAGATGCATGTGGGATGAAAAGATGAGAAAAACTCCCTCCTTGAGGTGTTTGTATCTTCACAGAAAGCTATGAAGCCGAACTGCATATTCGCTTCTTGAAGTAATCACCTTTCTGAGGGAGTTTTTAGAAGCTTTTAGAAGTATAGAAACCTCGAACTGGTACCCACTGCAGATCCTATGTGGATAATGTTGCATACGTACATCTTTAGAAGGGGTACTTTGGGTTTGTGGTCTTCTCTGTGCCAGATCCCATGCTAGGGATATACACAGGATTCTACTTAAGTAGAATTCTTTTCTACTTAAGAAGAAACTGAAAAGTTGAATAGACTTGTCTAAGCCAACAATGCCCATAAGTGGCAGAGCTGGAACTTGGTGACATTCAAGCTGTCCTCTCAACTACCGTTCATCTGCATCTGGGTTTGGCACACTTTCTCTGTAAAGGACCGGAGAGTAAGGTTGGTTCTGGGGCAATGTGGCGACACTGAAAGGCCCTAACTCCCCTCCTCCAGGAGACACCCTATCTACACCTACTGTTAGAGCAAATCCTCTTGAAGAACGGAGGGCTGACTGTACAGCTTCAGCACGACAACACAGGGAGAGACCACATAAAGAATGGCAAGAGAGAGGAAGACACAGGGATGGGGGGAGCCCCACCCCTAATGCTACCAACTGTGGCAGAGGGGGACAGTACTGAGGGACTGTGAGCAGATCCGTCTGTCTATGGGCACAGAAAAAATGTTGAGGGTTGCAAGGGCAACTAAAATGTAAGGGACCAGTCTTCAAACCTGCCAAAAGGCGGAGGAGGGAGCTGCTGGAACTCTCTCCTGGTCAGAGGGACTGGTAGATGCTACGGTTGATGCACCCCTCCACCTTGATGGGAGTAGACTGTGGGTGCCCTAGTGGGCCTGCTGCCTCAGGGAGCCCTGGGCCCCTAGCCCATACCACCTCCTCTGCCCTCCCACCAAGGTGGCCCCAGCACCATGCACACTGTGACCCCCTGGTCAATGCTCACTACAGCTTTAGCGACCCCACCAAGAGAACATGGGTGCAAAGCACACCGGAATGTTCCAGGCTCCTACCATGTTGGCTTGATAGCAGCCCTGCCAGGCCACCTTGGGATGCCCTGAGATGTGTACCCCGACTCGGGCCCAGCTACCCTGCATGGTGCCCCCTGTGCGGACTACCCTGGGACACCCTGGCTTGTACCTACTTGAACTTCAAGTTCATCCTCGCAGAGCATCCTCTGAATAGAGAGCCCTGGGACCACCCCTTGTGGTTAGAGCCCTAGGACCCCTGGCTTGCACGTACTTCATCTTCAGTTGTCCTGCCTGGGATATGTTGGCTTGTGTCT